CCCCAAAACCCCAAAACCCCAAAACCCCATGATATTAACATGAATCAAAATTAAGAAAATCTAAATTAAAATAATTAAGTTTGCCAATGAAGGAAATAATAAATATTGGTATAGGAAATTATGGGATACAAATTGCCAATGAATTCCTTGAAGAACTCTGCATTGATCATGATATTGGCTTAGATGGGGTGAAAAAGCCTTTATCTGAAAAGGACTAACAACTAGATTATCCTAATATTTACTTTGAGGAATTGAGCAGTGGAAAGTTTATTTCGAGATCTTTGCTGATTGATACTGATTCCACAAAGATAGAAAACGTAAGAAGTGGAAAAATGAGGCAATTGCAGTCGATTGACAATTACTCATGCTTAAAGTCAGGAGGATCTGGAAATTATGCAAAAGCTAGAAATGCTTATGAGGACGGGCTTATAGATTCGTTCCAAGATAAATTGAGAAAGCTAGTTGAGGGTTGTGATAAATTTCAAGCTTTTCAAGTCCAATATGCCACAGGTGGAGGGACTGGATCTGGACTTGGAAGTAAGATAACAGAACACTTATCTGCAGAGTATCCAGGTGAGTTGGTATAGACATTCAATTTACTTTCCAACGGCAAATTATAGGAGAGAAGTCTAGAGACATATAATACAGTCCTTGGCTTTAATTCCCTAGTTTAAAATGTATAATCCACTGTACTGTTTGATAATCATTCCCTTTTCAATTTATGTCAGAGACAATTCAAACTACCTAAGCCAAATATTGAAGATGTAAATTACCTGATGACCTAGTATATGACTACTATTACTAGTGCAATAAGGTTTCCGAGCAAGTAGATAAATGATTTTAGAAAGATGGCAACTTCTACTGTTCCATTTCCTAGGATGCATTTCTTCATTCCATCAATGGCGAATCTTGCGCCTAGATATACTGAAGAATACGAAAAAGATGATATGAGAACAAAAGACGTGTGCTACAGACTATTTGATGCCAGAAATACTTTACTGGATGTAGACTTTTCCAAAGGAAGATTCTACGGTTACACAGCTATTTTTAGAGGTATAAATTACTCTACAGTTGATCTTATCTAAGCGCTGCGTAAAAATTAGGATAGTAATAGCAGTTATTTTGCGGAATGGCTGCCTGATCATCATGCTGTTGGTGTTATTAGCAGGGACTTAAAGTATCTGCCTAAAAATTAAGGGATTTTATTGGGAAATTCAACTTGTATTAGCTAAACGCTTGAGAAACTAGTAGAAGATTTTACCAAGTTATTAAGAAGAAAAGCCTATCTAACTCATTTTACTGAATAAGGTTTGGATGAGATGGAATTTACTGAAGCAGAAAGTAACTTAAACGATTTAATCTCAGAATTCAAACCTTGCAATTATTATGATGGTGAGCATGAAGAAGCAGATGATTATTGATATGGATAAAATGGATAAAATATTTTTTGAGATTTTAATAATATCTTTCTTGAGCCAGTATTTAAATTAAATGTTTGCAAGTGGGGTTTTGGGGTTTTGGGGTTTTGGGG